CATATGTAGAGGGCTATGGGGTTGGATATATATTGTAAATTATCAGTTATGAGTTAAGCTCAGGAGATATGCATTTATTATGCAAATAACCTCATTGTGTGTGTGGGCACCACCTCTTTTCAGAGGAAAAATCAGTCTCTAACCACAAATTAAATGTAAACTGAAAAGTGAATTATTTTCTCGTGTTTAAATGGCATCAAATCAGTTAATACACACAGATATGCCAAAATAATCACAAATTTAGTTGATTTCATGTATTTTATTACAAAAATAATAATCTGTGATATATCTGATGAAGATTATGCATGACAAACAAATGAATAACAAATAACTTTGTGTCAAAATCTAATTGATTATTCAAATCAGTGAAACTTAAAAATGCAGATTTTGGACTTGTTCTGTTTGTGGAGTAGTTAAAATTGTCTAAAGTGTGCTGTAGTTTGTCTGATAAGATTATTGTGATGCATGATCACCAGAAAGTGCATTAAAGGTCTCTCTCACCAGAACGAGATGTCAGAATATTCCACAGCTGCTTAAAATGATACCAGCAAGGCCTGAGATGCTCCGGTGACTGAAAGGCTGATTTTTCCTCAAAAGTCACCTATCATCGATTGGAGGGACGAAGGTTCGGCCACTGGCTCTGAAGTCAGCTGGGATTTACCACCCTGCGGTGTAATGGTTCTGGCTTGGTCAGGTTCCGCTTCTGGTTCTGCTTTGTTTCTTCTGTATCTTTGTCCCGTCTCTGTGCAGAAAGGGTGCTTCTCTTCCATGCAGAAACTGAGTTTCTTCAGCTCTGAGCTCCAGAAGTGTGTAGCAGAAGTTGAGAAGTAGGCGTGCTTGCGAAGAAGTGACTGAAGTAGAAGCAGTTGAAGTGAAACTTAACTGTATGTGTGTTATACAGAACCTTTCCAAAAAATTTGAATATCATGGAAAAGTTGTTTACCTTCAATAATTCCATTCAAAAAGTTGATCTGTAATAGATGATAGATGATCGCAATTTAAATGATTTCAAGTATTTATTTGTTTATTTTTACATAATTTGGGCTTCCAGCTCATGAAACTCACGAAAACAGGATTGCAAAAAATTAGAATACTGTGGAGAAATCTGCCCAAATTTTGCAGGGCATAAATGTTTCAAACCGAGTGTGACACACTAATCATCTACGAAACTCAAAGCACCTGCACAGGTTTCTCCAGGTGTCATTAAATTACTTCAGTTTGGTTCAATTTTCTCAGTTCGTTTCAATATGGGGAAGACTGCAGACATAACAACTGGCCAGAAGACCATCATTGATACCCTCAATAGGACGGGTAAGCCACAAAAGTTCATAGCTAAGGAGGCTGGCTGTTCACAGAGTGCTGTGTCCAAGCATATCAATGGAAAGTCTAGTGGAAGGGCAAAATGTGGCACGAGAAGATGCACCAGCAAAAGAGATGACCGTGGGCTTCAGTGGATTATCATACAGAGAAGATTCCAGAATCTGGCAGAGATCCAGAAAGAGTGGAATGAGACGGGAGTCACAGATCAAAAACCACCACATTCAGATGCATACGAGAGATGGGCTACAACTGTCGGGTTCATCGGGTCAATCCACTTCTGAACCTGAGCCAACGTAGGAAGTGTCTCAACTGGGCCAAGGAGAAGAAGGGCTGGACCATTGGCCAGTGGCCCAAGGTCCTCTTTTCCGATGAAAGTAAAGTGTGCCTTTCATTTGGAAATCAAGGTCCAAGGGTTTGGAGGAAGAAGGGTGAGGAACAGAATCCATACTGCTTGAGGTTCAGTCTGAAATATCCACAGTCAGTCATGATTTGGGGTGCAATGTCCGTTGCAGGTGTTTTTAAACTCTTTCTTAAATCCAAGGTCACATCAAAAGTCTACCAGAATGTTTTAGAGGACTTCATGATTCCTTCTGCTGAGGATCTGTATGGAGATGCAGATTTCATCTTCCAGCAGGACCTGGCCCCTGCCCATGCTGCCAGAAGCACCAAAACCTGGTTTGATGTCCATGCCAACTTACTGAACCTAAACCACATCGAATATCTATGGGGTATTCTTAAGAGGACAATGAGGGGCACCAGACCCAACAACAAAGAAGAGCTGACAGCAAGCATCAAGGAAATCTGGGCTTCCATAACTCCCAGGCAATTCCACAGGCTGACTGCCTCAATGCCACGTAGCATCGAGGCAGTGATTAAGGCAAACGGATTCCCAACCAAGTATTGAAGATTGACATATCGTTTTGAACCGAGTATTGTGGGCTGATTTCTTCACAGTATTCTAATTTTTTTTTTATCCCGTTTTCGTGAGTTTCATGAGCTGGAAGCCCAAATTATGTAAAAATAAACAAATAAATACTTGAAATCGTTTAAATTGTGGGCCCTGAATCTATCATCTATTAAGGATTAACTTTTTGAATGGAATTATGGAAGATAAACAACTTTTCCATGATATTCAAATTTTTTGGAAAGGGTCTATATGTATGTGTGTATATATATATATATATATATATATATATA